AAGCTGCTACAGTTCGGACTCAATTTGTGTCACGGTCCTGTATCTAATCTCGCAGAGTGCAATGCAAGACCAATGAATTATCAAAGAGTCCAAATCCGGCAAATCGTTTTGAGAAAACAGATTTTGAAAGAAGTGCCAAACATGAACTGCTTTGCCAGATACAGAGTCGCCACCTAAATGTTTTATTTTGGAAAAATTTAGGAAACCCTGACTCGGTGCCAAAAGGCCACGTGTCCGTCATCACCAAAGTTGCCTCGGCTCGGGAACTTGGGTACGATTGGGGAAGGTCACTTCGTGAGCACCCCCGCTCGCCCGGTCAGAGACCGGCCTCTACTAATCATGATATCAATTTTTGAAAACATTGTGAGTTCTTCTTCCGATTATTAGCCTAGGTTACTATGTGATGCGCACAGCATACAAGTATAGACTGGATCGTCTGTATTGGAACAAAACATTTCATGTTTGTTTTTTGAAAATGGTTTGCTACCCGCAGGTAGGCTTTGAAACATTTGATGATTTATTACAATTCGGATAATCCAACCTTCACCCACAGGCATTCAGGCAGTTATATCATATAAGCACATAGCCTCATGGTAAGCATGCTATTCATGGCATTCACTCACACGCATGCAAGGATGCTAAAGCATAAAGCTTACCGAGTACTCCAAGCCAAAACAAAAACTGTATTAGAAATCATGCATGATCCTAAGTATACAAAAATGCCTAGTGCAACACATGCAAAATGCAACTATAGCAGGCTCGGCTATTCTAAGATGGCGTATGAAATGCTACAACTAACAAAAATTATATGCATGAGCTGATTTATGAGATGAATTTAATTTCTGTTCATGCTCCAAACAAAGGCGGAACAAGTGTTCAGGAGCAAGTTTAGCATCCAAACTGGACAATAGTAATCCCTCTAAACCTGGACAAAAAGACATCATATGAAATATGTTATCGTATGAACAAATTACCGCATATCACTCAGATGAAAGTTTTAAAATTAATCACCATTAATCATTCTTATTCCCAGTCCGTAGGAGTCTATGAAGGATGACAACCGATCTGCTTCAGAGACCTTTAGAATTCCAGGCTGCTTTGGGGACCAGAAATTAGAATAAAAATAGTGCATGGTATAAACCTCAGTTTGAATACAGAACACACAAGCACATGCAAAGAAATAAAAGAACTGAACGTGGCGTAAGTTTTAGAAGGCTACAATGATAGAAGCAACAAAACTAAGATCTGAATATATATAGCTAGCATAGAAATAGCAAACAAAAGGTAAGTGGCAGATATATTTGATTTGACGTTTATATCAAATTAGAATTAATATCCTCTGTTACAAAAATGATAAACTCAGTGCAAGAAACATGTTCACCGTATTAGATTCTCAACACAAAAATCAAAAGACCTTCCAAATTTGTAAAAAAATTTCCTTAGAAGTGACAAATGCAACCAATGCAAGTGAAGGATCAGAGTTTGGGCGTACAAACTACCAGGCTACCATACTAACATATATGTTTGTGCAACTCAAGTCTAACTATTCAGTCAGCAATCAAAAGAAACCAGCACTGTAACATACTTGTCATCTTACAAATTATTTGTTGGCAACTCTAGTCTGAGGGCCATAGGGGACTCTACTTTTACTCTTCTATTTGCCATCTGCCCAATGCATGGTCTTCCATTTATACGTAACTACTAAACTACAAAACACCCTTCACAGTATTAATGAGTTCAAAGCATCAGCAACATGCAAGTATGATTGCTTCATATGATGATTGAGAGAACATACTGTTTCAACAAGATCCATGGACCCAAATAGTTGATTGTGAATGTGCACCATATTGTTCAAGATGGAGTCCTTCATTAAGTTCCATTCCTCCTCCAGAGTATCATCTTCCTCTTCAGCTTTCTTTATGGATGAAAAGACACTGTTAGAAAAACAACTATACACACACAGCACAAACACAAGTTATAATTACCTTTTCAGCAACTTTTTCATCAGAAAGCAATTCCTGCCATTCTGAAAGTATCTCATTCCGTCGCAAATGCTCTCATTTTTTGAGACGGCAAATTGTGCCGTCGCAAATGCTATGCTTTTTTGAGACGGCAAATGGTGCCGTCGCAAATACTCTGCTTTTTTGAGACGGCAAGTGTGCCATCGCAAATAGTCTCGTCTCATATACCCACTTTTCTTGTAGTGCTAGCAAACTCATCAAATGTCTTATCCAAGAGCTGATTGATAAATACACCATATTAGTTAAAAGCCTTGATGCAAATAAATTTCTGGAATACTTTTGTTTGAAATCCTACAGAGGAGTAATTCTTACAACAAAAGATGCATTATCCATTAATTGGGCCTCAGCAATAGAATGCGCTACACGGAGAAGAATGTTGTGATGTATGGAAGCTTTCAGTTGCAAGTCTGAGACCTGTTATCAATGGGAAGTATTTGAATACACAGCTTCTCATCAATTCAGATAAAAGTCAAGCACATGGGAAACTAGAACAACCATGAGATACAAAGACAATATGCTCATGAGTCAAATTAAATCAGAACATGTATACAGGCAAGAAATTAAATCAAAGGAGTCACAGACCATCTTATCAGAATTGACATCTCTTGTCGAAGTAACCAAACTTTCCAGCAAATTCATATCCATTGCCTTTGTGTTCATAGGGAAATCTATATCACATGAAGGAAACTTGGCCAACCCACAGTTGATCCTGACAGAAACAGCATCAGATGCAAAGCCTCTAGGAAATCTCATAAATGAATAAATTGTCTCCTGCCAGGTAGTTTTCAAATTTAGCAATTAAAACAACAATAACAAAAACAACCACTACCACCAAGAATGACGTGTAGTACCAGAACTATGTCCATATCATCCTGTCCAACTGTATCCAGAATTTTTTTCTGAATGGCACTTGATAGAACCAACGATAAACCGAGTTTCATTTCATATATTGCAACTTGAACTAGTTGAATTATATCGACGTATGCAGAATATTCATTTGATAGTCGATCAATGAAACGAGTTGTTGTTTCCTGATAGATCAAAAGATAAAATTGATGTCATGAATCATATTTGTAAAATTTTATGAGTAGCTTATTAACTGAACAGCATAATAATTTGAAAGGATACAATTGCATTAAGGAAAAAGTAAAAGGCCTATGTAATAAGCAGTTCATCTAAAAGTACAATCAAATAGTTAAAAATGAGTATTCAGTCAAAAACAGCTAATTTATACCTGCCAATTGCGCACTTGGTCACTAATCTGTTGTTTGTCCATGCTATCAACATCTTTGATTAGACCAACAGAAGTTACAACCATTTTAAGAAACTCCTCACATTCATATTTAACTTTACAAATTTCCTAGGATCAGAGCGAAACACAATCTGCGTGCCGAAACAAAACTCATTAAGAGGGTGTGAAAAAAATAAAAAAAGAAGATAAGGATAAAGAAAAAAAAAATTAAAGCTACAAGAGTTCTATATTAAAAAAATTTATAGCATTATCATGCAACCAATTACTACAAATCAATTGGAGTGTAAATATCTAAACTTTATGGCCCCAATACCACTAATCTATGAGATATAATATATTTACAAAGAGACAGAGGTTGGGCTAGAAGTCACTGAACCTTTCGTTTAAGACTTTTACAATCAGCTTTGAGGTTTTCCAATGCCATTGTTCTTTGTTTGTCAGCCTCTCCCCATGAAACCCATCCAGCTAAATAGGCACTCTCTTTCCGTACCTGTAAGAAATGACATGACAAGTGTTATTACCATCTTCAAACATTGACTTATGACAGCAAGAGGAAATCATGTTTCATTTTAGCTCGAATGCATGCATGTGTAAGCTTCCAAATGCGCATGCCACAAAGGAAGAAAGTTGGCATATGCAACAAGAAGCAAGCAGCAAGTGCCTCTGCCAATAATTTCCCCCCTCAACAAACCAACTAACCCTTAATTATAATACAAGAACTTCGAGCAAGGACTAGGATTAATTTTCCCTTTCAAAGTGTACTAGTAGGGCACCAATTGGTTATCAAAGAAATATGGGAAAAGCAAAAGTTCATGCATGGCTCAAACATTTATATTCAGAAATTGTAACATTCTCATGGCATCAAGAAACACTAAAAGAAAGCCTTGCTAATTGAAAAAACTGAGGTACAAAATTTGAATAAGCATACATATATGTTCTCCACTCCTTTCCAAAGCACATGCACAAACATGCATACGCATAAATAAAGAAATTAATTTTTTTAACCATTTCCACATTACACAGAAACACAGTAGTCAAGCCATTAACTAAACAGACCCATTAATTAAACAAAACAAAACAAATCAATTTTATGGTTAATTAAACAGACCCATTTTTTATGGTTAACTAAACAAAAAAATAATTCACAGACCCATTAACTAAACAAAACAAATCAATTTTCTGGTTAACTAAACAAAAAAATAATTCACAGACCCCTTATCAGTATTTATGCAAGGCCTTATCATATTCATTTTTTATGGTTAACTAAACAAAAAAATAATTGACAGACCCCTTATCAGTATTTATGCAAGGCCTTATCATATTCATTTTTTATGGTTAACTAAACAAAAAAATAATTGACAGACCCCTTATCAGTATTTATGCAAGGCCTTATCATATTCATTTTTTATGGTTAACTAAACAAAAAAACCTGAAACAGAGAGAGAGAGAGAGAGAGAGAGAAAGAGTCTCTGCGTGTGTGTTGTTGGGTTTGTTTGTTGGGTCTGTCAAGAAATTAGGGCAAAATCTAAAGAAAAGGGGCCTGAGGTAGTGAGGCGTAAGGAAAAATTGAAAAAATATATATATATATATATATATATTTCCCCCCTCCATCTTTCAAATTTTCCCCCAAACTTTTGGCGACCAAACTCTCAAATTAGTCGCAAAAACAGGTTATTTCGCCGACAAATTGTTTTAGTCGCCAAATCTCAATCAACGGCGACTAAAATATTAGTCCCTAAAAGTAGTAATTTGGCGACTACTTTTTTTTGGTTGTTGAAAATAAATTTTTTGCGACCAAATTTTTGGTCGCCAAAAAATATGTGACCTTCCACGACCAAATTTGTAGTTGGTTGACAAAAGTATACCACTTTTTGCGACCAACATATTTTTTGGTCGCCAAAATATAACCTTCTGTGACCAATAATATTTGGTCGCCAAAAATAATGATCATTCGCGACTAATTAATATTTGGTCGCCAAATGTCATTTTTTTGCGACCAAAATTTTTTTGGTCGGCAAAAGTGGTCGCAAAATGTGTAAATTCTTGTAGTGTAAGCCATGACAAAAATTTACTGAAATACCCCCTTATTTGTCCCTAAACAAGGAGGGTAAAATGATAATTTCAAAAAGATGCACGAGGGTAATATGAAAATTTTATAATTTTCACAAATGATATGACACTATTATAATAATTTTTAGAAAGTAAAAAAGTAAAAAAAATAAAAAATAAAAAATTCCCAAATACATTTTTGAAAAAGTCAAAAAGCAACCACCGAAAAAAAAAAGAAAAAAGAAAGCAAAATAGCTATTTTTTTTATCTTCCCAAAAGAGCTCAAAAAGTCAACAAATCAACTCACTTCCTAAACGAAGCCCTAATTGAAACCGCACAATCCTATTCAGGATAAATTCGGGGTATGCATTTGGCTCCATGGACTTAGTCATTAGCAATTCATTTGGGTCGATCAAATGATAATTCTACAATATACACCCTATACCATATGTATCTTTAGTTTTGTCATTTTTTTTTTTTTTAGTTATGACCAACTTTTTTCTTAATTATGATATTATTTTGAGATGTTTGGTTATACCTCATGTAGTGTTTTTTTTTTTTTAAAGTTATTGTGGAAGGTAGAATTCTTTTCCACAGGGAAAGTGAGATAATGTGTCCCTTCCTTTACTCTACTAAGAGAAATCAAAAAACGTCAGTGATCAACCCCAACTGAGAGTGGTCGGGAGGACCATCTAACGGTCAAGTTAGAATACTGTTTGACCACAAAATTTTTTTATTTAAATGAGGGTTTTTGGATTACCTCTGCTCTCTCTTTCTTGCTTTTTCTACTTTGACATTTATAATATTATTGGACCATCTAACGGTCAAGTTAGAATACTGTTTGACCACAAATTTTTTCTATTTAAATGAGGGTTCTTGGATTACCTCTGCTCTCTCTTTCTTGCTTTTTCTACTTCGACATTTATAATATTATTGACTTAAATCCAATCTATTGGATCAATGTTTGATAGAAGGGTTTTGCCCACTTCTAGGTCTGGTCGGGTAAGTGGCCATGTTACTTTTGTTTTTAATTGTTGGATCATCCTCTCTTGTACAACTTAGATTATGTTAGATGTTAGTAGGCAACTTGCCAAGTGTTATGTTCATCTAATCAAGCCGATCGAACGATTGTGTCTTTTAATAGGCCTGACTTATATCTTTGTATTTGTTGCTTGATAACTCCATTGCAAGATGAAGATGAATTTGACGATCCTCTAGCATTCTGCTAATCTCCTTTTAGAAGAAGATCTTACTCCTCATGTGCTTAGTCACGTGCTATTGTTCTGCCAGTTTTTTCTAATAGGCCCCTTAGTAATATATTTGGGCCTTTTCCTTTGGGCCATTTTGCCTAATTACTTTTGAATTTGGGCCTACATTTTATTCTTTTACAATTATGACTCAAAAAATATAAAATTATATAATTTTATTATTTAATTATAAAGTATATATGATATACACAATTTGAGAGGTTTATCAAAAATATTACCAAACACTCACATAAATCCATACAAAAATATTTGAGATCACTAAATGAGGAACTCTAGAGGTAGGCCTAACCTTATGATTTAATGTTTGGACTTGTAATGTTATATTTTTCGTTTTATATATTACCATATTACTAAAGTTGATATTAAAACTCTAACTCTAATACTCTTTATCATTGCTCTACATCTATATCCATACGAGTGTTCGGTAAATTATTTGATAACTCTACCATTGCTGCTTTTGTATTACGTCCTGCACATACCCGGGCTGCTAAAGTGGCACATCCTACGTGTGACACCTGGCCGATTGTAACGGTGGAAAGACACCTCCCATCACACGAGAAAGCATCTCAACCGCTAACGGCTAATGCCTCTTCGTTTTTGCTGTTGGAGATAGTAGAAATCGTCGAAACCAGTTTTCCATTTTTAGAGAGAGAAAATAGAGAGAGGAGAGAGATGAAGATCACGGCGTTGTTGGTGTTGAAATGCAACCCGGAAGGATCTGATCCGACGATACTGGCAAACGCGTCGGACGTGACCCGTTTTGGGTACTTCCAGAGGCCGAGCGTCAGGGAATTCATCGTCTTCGTGGGTCGGACCGTCGGAAAACGGACCCCACCCGGCCAACGTCAATCTGTTCAACACGAAGGTCCCATTTCTCTCTCTCTCTCAAATCGAATCTCGGTTGTTGTGGATCTCACAGTCTTCAATTTTCGGCATTTGAACATTTTGAATTGATTGTTTGGCTTTTATTTTCCTGAATTAATTAATAATGAGCGATCGATTAGGTGAATGTTGTTTTGTATCATTGCTTATTGTTGAAATTGTCGGATGAACTCGTGTAATTTCGGTAATTTAGTGGAAGTTTCGATTTGGGTTTGGGTTTGGGGTTCGAAGCTTGATCCATTTTGGGAAATTCTTTTTTTTTTGGTTGAGAAATTAGGCTCTGAATTCACGAATTTTAGTACTATTTTGGTTAAGAAATGGGTTGAAGTTCTGGTTTTGTATTACAGTTTTGCTGTGTAATTTTGCTAAGTTGGTGAATTGGGGATTTGGTTTGGATTTTGAAGCCCCCCGCCCCCTGAAAAATAAAAAATTTGTTAGGAAGTTGCGCTGTGAATTTACAAAATTTAGTATTTTGGTGAGGAAATTGCACGAACTATTTGTTTTGTATTTGAGTTCTTAGCAATTGTTGGTCATTTGGTTGTATTTGATTTGGGCTTTGAAGCTTGATCTGGCCCTGAGAAATTGTTTTGTTAGGAAATTAGGTTCTGAACTTACAAAAGTGAGCACAATTTTGTTGAAAAAATTGGGACATTGGCTTTTCTAATGAATATTGAACCCATGTCGAATTGGGTGAAAATTTGGTTTGGACTTTGGAAGAGCCTGATTTGAATGAGGAGACTTTGCACAAACTAGGAAAAGAAACTTTTGGATGTTGTGTTGTTTGGCTAATAGTTCGTTTTAGTAACGATTTTAATATAAATTGAAATGGTGTGAAGTCTATAAAATATATATATATATATATATATGAAAATGACATGTTAATGGAAATTTTGGATTTGATTGTAGCTCCCAATCACCTGTAAATTTTGATTGGTGAGCTATAGAGACACTTGGTTCTTAAAGTGTGATAAGGGAGAAGAGATTTGTTTAGTATCATGTTAAAGTGTGGGTTCTTCAAGCTTAGCTAGTTTGATTTCAAAAATTCCAAGAGTGACTGAGTCACTCTTGTGGCTGCTTTTTGGGAATAGCATTAATATATATGCTCAACTATCAGGAGACAATATGCTGGTAAGATTTCTTGAGAAATTTATAAACTAAGGCTTTGAAGCGTTGTACTTTCCAACTATTTAATGAGGTAGTACTTGTTTTTCAAAAGCAGATTAGTGAAACTCATGCTCAGAATTTTGTTCTACTTGCTAAATTGTTTTTACATTTTGCCGATATTTCAATTTGCATTTTGGATTGGTTAAATTAGAACTCTTTTATTTTCTGGGTGACAGAATACAAAGTACATTCGTACAACAGAAATGGCCTTTGTACAGTGGGCTTCATGGATGATCACTACCCAGTCCGAAGTGCATTTTCTCTTCTTAACAAGGTAATCCTACTTTTATCGCTTTATTTGTTGGGAGCACTTGTATCTTTTGCAGATACTTAGTGCACGTCTATAGGTATGTGTATTATTTAACCTGAAATAATTTGGTTCCTTACTTCCTGGGCATGGTAAAGTGTATGATTCTTGTATATATAATCATATATAAGATGTCATGGGATGTATGTATAATTTTTTATTGGCACCATCACATTTTTGTATGTTTCTGTCCCTAGTCTTGTGGCATGGGTTTGAGTCATGGGAATCAACCTCCCCATAAAAAAAGGTGGGGGTAGAGCTGTCTACCTGCTACCTCTCTCAGAGTATGACCTTTTTTATAATAATAAATATAAAGTAGAATTATTGATTCCATCAGTATAATTCCATCAGTGAGTATGCTCACTTCATTCTATGAAAATTGTTCGATGCTATTAATTGAAGGTTCCAAAATTGAATTGGTGCATTTCAAAGAACAGTTCAGTGAACTTCTTATGCAGTTTTATTTCTAGGGCATTATATCATAAACATGTTTATATTCCTTTCGGCAAGGTAAATTGTTGCATAGGAAACCACATACTTCTTGGAAGGGTATTATTGGCACTCAACGATAAACTTTGTGTACAAATGTTTGGTCTCTGTAGTACCCTCAAAGATTTTGTGCTCAGGTGCGCTAATATGACTTACAACAATTCCATCTTTAATATCTAGAAATGTTAATGCTAGCTTAGAAGTAGTCATCTCTTTCATAAATGTTTACTGCATAGTCTACTTGTATTAAATTGTGGTGAGAAACTTATTTCTTAGATCATAAGCCTATATGGTATCGTTTTTGTTTTCTGTTTTCGGAAAACACGTAAACTTGTTTGGTGAATTGTCTCCAAAAATTGTTTTTGGGAATTTTTTTTTTTAAAACTATCCACTTTTTAGAAAACACCAAAAAATTGTTTTCGCAAAAAAAAAATATATAAAATGAAATGAAATGATATGATATGATATGAAAATTATGGGTGTTTCTGTACTTCTCAGTACATTTATTTCTGGAAAACAAAGAAAACAACGACACCAAATATGCCCTAAATATTTATTGTCGTATACTCTATTTTATGTAGTTGTAGTGAGAATTGTGTAAGGAACTTTCTTTTAAAGACTTCTTGATTCTTGAGGATGTCTAAAAGATTATGTTCTTTGAGATTAGTTGACAATTGAATATGTTGACATATTGAAAGAGAGACAGGAGGTATACCATATATTGTTCAGAAAAATGAGTTGTATCTATTGGTCATTTTTATAGTGTTGGCAACTTCATTCCATTGAGTTTGTGCTTTTTATGTTTTAGTTTTGATTCCATGAGTATTAAAAGTACTTGAAGATTCTGCATAGAGACTCTAAGCTAAAGTGACGATTTAAAGTACAATGTGTCTGTTTGGCAGAACTTAAAAGCAGCTTATTTCAGCTTTCAGCTTAATTTAAACTATTTTGATGTGTTTGGTTTAGCTTATAGTTATAACTTATAGCTTTTTGGAAGTCAGAAATCAGCTTATTCTTTGAGTGGGGCTGGAGATGCTTAATTTATAAGTCAGAAATCAGCTTATGTTCATAGTTATAAGCTATAAGCTGTTTAGGCATAAGCTATAAGCACTTTCTCACAGCTCTACCAAACAGGGCCTATGACTTGATAAGTAAAGGAAAAATCATGAATTGCATTAGCAGATTGTTTAGATTTTATCTTTGTTATATTTTTAGGTTGGGTTATATTTTAGTTTTTGACCATGGGCTTGACCTTTGGAACCCATAGTCTTTGTTTTTGATCCTTACACTCATGTTTTTAGTGAAAAACTAATTTTTTGAAATAGTACACGGTGTGTTCAAACTTGTGGCACTTCGTTCGTATGCATGAAACAGTTTTGAAAAACTAATTCCAGGGGGTTGTTCATCCAAATACAAGGGAGTTGTTTGTTCTTATGCTTAGGTTATTCATTTGAACACATTCACATGTTTTTGTCTCAGATTGTGATTTGGAGAATGAATACTTTCTTTTTCTGGTTTATTTGTTCACTTGGGTTTTCCTTGTGTATATATTGAGACCTAGTTTTCATTGTATTAGGTTGGCCACTATTATCACTGAGCTTTGGGTGATCTAAGAGAGCTTTATAGTCCATATATGATCTTATTTGTATTTTTGAGTGTTTACAAGGGTTGAGTTTGCTACATCTATTGGATATTAGGTTTGCATTCACATAGATTTAGATCACGTTTGTGGTTGCTCTTAAAGATTGGGATGTAAGCTTAAAGATTGGTGGACACAGGTTGAAGATTGGACTACTGGGATGTTTATGTGACATGAGTGGGTATGATATTTGCGTTGAGTGTTACTTGATCTTTTTTAGTGGGTTTGATAGGTTTGGGTTTTTCATGTTAAAACTGGTCTCTCTCGTAGTTGTGTGCTTGCTTTATTTTATGCATATTTTAAATTGAATTGAAAGATTCATGTCAGTTTGTTTAATTGAAAATTAATTGTCTATTTTAGCTCACTTAAACTTGAAAAGTTGTTTTTCATAAACTATTTTGTCGCCTAATATATCTATTAAAATTAAGGTGTATTCGGCTATTTTGATCTTATTTAGTAATAATTTTCTTTTTCATTTGGTCTTGCTTAAGATTCGATGGCCAGAAGGCGAGGAAAAGAAAAAAGGAAAAAATCACATTGATCATGATTCCTGGCCAACGTATTTTGGTTGTACCAACCCCTAATCACATTAGTTGGGCTTCCAAATTGTGGGTTAGAATTCCAATTTATCCCTTTGTTCGTACTTTGTTCCTTCTAGTGTTCTAAAAACAATGGCCGTCAATATAATGGATTTGGTAGGCTGTGATCCTGCTACAGGCCACCATAACTAGACTGAAGGTCATTTGCGTAATGGCTTGTTATGGTGCCGTAATGGTTAATCCATGCTTTGAAATTTTGAAAGCCTTTTTTATGTTTATTTATTTATTTTTCATTTTTTATGGTTATTTTTAGCTCCAAATGTTCTAAACTTTCCTTCTAAAATATGTTTATTTATTTATTTTTCGTTTTGTATGGTTAATTTATAAATTTCATGTATATCATAAAATAAAATATTAAATTACTTTAACCTATGATTTTTTTTTTTTTTTTAAATTTATAAAGTTTTGTGCATAGCACGGGTTACACTAGTTTCTTTATATCCTTTTGGTTGATTTTAATCCGGACTTGCATTGATGACCTGAACTGTCTATTTTAAATGTCTCACAATAAATGTCGTTTATCCAAAAAGTCAGTTTCATAAAAAAATTGTAAATACAAAAATAAAACACATTTTCTCTCTCCTCTTGTAGGTGCCCAAGGGTTCCAAAATGATTCGCGGTTCAACTCGTCTCGCTTGTTCAATTAGCCCGTAATGCTCAGTCTGTTTTAGCTCATGAAAAATAATTTAGGATTTTAGATAAAAATTTATAATCCAAGCCTACACATAAGCTCAACTTGTAAGAGTCCACATAAGTAAATCTAATGTTTAATTTGATTTTATTTGGTCTAATGGTTAATTTGATGCATTTTATTTTCATATTTAAAGTTTTACATTTTTTCTTTCAATTTTTTTCCCTCTACTTGTAAGTATTATATAGTACTTTATTATTTTTTTATTATATAAGATGTAAAAAGGTAAATAAAAAAAAATCAAAATACTTGAGTTATGTTAGAAAGTAAGCAATAAAAAATAACTAATTAATAAAAATATTAAAAAAATATGTAGAGTTTGATAATATAAGTGTAATAAAAAATATGTAACCTAATTTTATTTGATTTTGACTTATATGATTTGAGTTTATGTGTGGGATATGATTTTAATTTTTTAAATAGGCTTAATCCGTACCAATTCATTAACGGATCAAAATTCAAAAAATTCATTAAAATATGAGATTTGAAGATAGTTAAAAGTTATCTTTTAATTTTTAACTTATTTTGAGTCACATTATCTCTCATACCTTTTATATATTTGTTTAGAAAAAATTTAAAAATTAATTTTTAACCATATTTTCAAAATAAACCTAAATAAGTCCAGCCCCGCCCCGCCTCTTTCTAAAATACTCTCATTTTCTCTCTCTAAACAACTCTTATTTTCTCTCTCCTCTTGTAGGTGACACCACTCCTCTTTCTAAAACAGACACATTTTCTTTCTCCCTCTTTAATGTGCTCTTATTCCTTTAAACTTCTCTTATTTTCTCTCTCCTCTTTTGGGTGCCCCCATCTCTTTCCAAACAACTCTCATTTTCTCCCTCCGCTTGAGTTTTTTTTTTGTTGGTTAAATGGACTTATTAGATAGATTATTTATATATATATATATATATATATAAGAAGTTAAATTGATTAGACATTTATAATTTCGTAACAAAAATAGATTTATTTTTTAAAATATAAACGGTTAATATAATTTTGATTTTTTTTAAAAATAATTAAAAGTTGATTTTAAAATTATAAATATTCAATTAATTTAATTTTTTTTTATAAATAATATATTTACCGAATCTTATAATGAAGATGTTTGTTTGGGCTGTTTTGAGCTAATTTATAGCTTCTAACTTTAGAAAAGTTATTTTGAACGGTTTGGTTAAACTTATTTCAAATAGTTTCTGATTTTAACTTATTTTAACTCAAAAAAATTGATTCTGAGAAACTGTTCATCCCTTGTTTCTGATTATCAACTTCTGCTGTAAACATGTTAATTTATGGTTATACTTTTAGATTTTTTTATTTTTTATTTTTAAAAAAATAGAAAAAGACTCAAATGGATTATAGATTATTATTATTATTTTTTATGAGAAATGTAGACAAGTAGTGAATAACAAAAAATAAAAGTTAATTGAAAAAGCTACTTCACAGCTTATTTAACAAAAACTATCCAGCAACTTAAATCTATAATCCAACAACTATAACAAACAGATTAACAGCTTCTGATTAAAGTAATAATCTATAATATGTTTTAACAGTTACACCAAACGGGGCCAATACCAACTATCAAGATTATCTCAAAAAAAAAAACTCGGGAGAAGGTCCCATAATCTCGCAATAGTCTACTCTAACCTAAAGTCGCAACAGAAGCCCATTTCTGTTAATTGGTGCCCTTGGCTCTTTCTAAAACACTCAAGCAGCGTTTGGTAGAATTTTAGAATTATGATTTGAAAATAGAGTTGTATTTTGAATTTGTGAGTTTTGGAATTATGATTTGAGTGTGAAATTTTTATTTGATTATGAGTTTTGAATTGAGTTTGAAATTTTTGATGAGACATGTGATATTTGATTCAAAAATTTACAACTCATAACCAAAAATACAATCTAAAATTCTATTCAAAACTCATAAAAAAAATTAAAAAAAATCTGAAAATATTATTTATTTAAAGTATAAAAATAGCAGGTGCTAAAAAAAAAAACAAAAAAACAAAACAAACATTGTTCCGGTTAACCGGCTGGACGTCCGGGGGGACATCTAGGACAATGACCGGGTAGACATGTTTTCAAAAGTGAGTGTGGAATCAATGTTTGAAAATTATAACCAAACACAATACTCAAACCAACGTGTAGAATTAAGTTTCCAAAATTCCACCAAACACAGCCTCATTTTCTCTTTTCCTCTCTACACAACTCTCTTTTTCTCTCTCCTTTTATAGGTGCCCTTATCTCTTTGTCACGACTCAAACCCGCCCTTAAGAGTTTAGGATCGTAATTGGCCAGTAATCCGTGATTACCCAAGGCCTGCTTAACAGTAGTAACATTTATACAATAAGAGAGGCCGACGGAAGCCTATAAATATTAAAACAAAACGTCCATAGAGCTGTGATGACTTAAATGGTTAAACAACCTTTATATATATATATATATAGATATTTACATAGTCCATAGTTAGGGATTAAATCCCTAAAACATAACGGTTAACACAAAAGTCTTAAACAAAAACTCTATAAAATAGATCACATTTTCAGATGGGCAAACTGAAATACCCAAAAACCTTAACACATAACGGTTTGAAACCTCGCAGTGAGGCACGGTAGTTTGCTTGACAAAATAGGGTTCAGGTCGGCGCCGCTAAGACCGATTTGGTGCTTAATCACCTACATACATATATATATATCCAATGAGTTAAAACCTAGTGAATAACAAATGTGTAAAAGGGTTGAGAATGAATGCCCTTTCAGTATTTAAATTAGTCAATTACATTAATAGATCATTTATTCGATCAATATCTCATATTTCATGTCATATCAGTCATTTAGAAAGCATAGCAGTCATACGTGGTACATCCAATTGCAGAACAGTACAGTAGGTCTTAAAAGACCGAACAGTCAATTAAACAGTAAACAGTAATTCCAAAAATTAGAACTAACAGAGATCTCTGTAACAATAGCAGTAACAGTCAGTTGCTATGGATACTACAAGTACAGTTCATAAAATAAGACAAACATTCATTCAGTAAATAATGTCATTTCAGAAAGCAGTATAGTTAATCATTCAGAAAATAATTGTAATTAAACATAACTTTACAACATTGTTACTCACAGTTGGCTCCAAAGCAAACAGAGATGTCTTGAGGCGCGTGACCTACACAGTTATAGAACGAACACGTACTAAATTACACACCCGGAATCATTAACTTAATCATTTCTTATCTTGGTGTGTTTTTATATCTTATCCTCATTATGATGTTTTAATCTTCACTTCGGAATACCTAGGATGCAATGAAGATGCCAAAATGCACTTGAACACACATTTGACAAAACTTGTTGAAAACAGGGGTCTCGATAGAGCGCAACTTCCTTCACTTGAGTGAACATACAGAAATGTGAGTGGTCGCTTGAGTGCACCTTCTCTTGCTCGAGCGATCTGCAAAAATACTGGTTGTGCAATTTTTTCGCTCGATGATCGCTCAACGCTCGCTCGAGCGTAAGACTCAGGTCCTCGCTCAAGCGTAACTTTTGTCGCTCGAGCGGTCTATAAAACGTGTAATCTTCTGGGAGCATGTATTTTACGCTTGAGCTGACTTCTTGTCGCTCGAGCACAGATGCTGAAACAAAGGTGGTCACTCGAGCACAGGATCTATCACTCGAGCGGAGGTGTAGAGTTCTGGAATTTCCAAATTGCACTCCCAAGCTTCAAACTCAAATTCAAAGTCTCAAAATGCAACTCTTTGGCCCCAAAACTTGAGAAAACATATATAAATTTGGAAAACATCAAATTCAAAACCATTTCGCAAAATCGAGGTCCAAAAGCTTGCCAATTGTGCAAAACAACATTTAATTCTTTGAAAACATAACATGCATGCTTTATCTGGACTTGAAGGTTTCCAAAACATGATTAATTGGTATGAAATGGTATTAAACAAGACAAATTCTCAAGATAAAGGCACGATAGACACATGCATGTGAGACTTATGTGAAATTCAAACTCAAAATGCTATAATATATGCTTGCATGCATGGAATTCATCTATTTAAGCTCAATTCTCATGGTAATTCACCTCAAATTGTCATGGAGAAATCAAATCCTCACTTTGTTATGTAAATGTATAAACTATGCAAGTGTAAGCTCTAAAATTCAAACTTCCTTGGAGGTCCCTCTCAATTAAAGAACCATGGAAGAATTTAAATGAATGCAACCAAATTTCCATGAAATTATGCCATGCATGTAACCATATGAAGTGAAGTTGATCAATTTTTCCTTACCAATACATGCATGTATTATCTACCTATAACATTCACACATCCTTTCACGTAAACCCCAAATTCATCTTGTTTAATTTGAATTCCATAAGTTATGAGCATAATTCTTCGACTTCATAAGATTAGAGCAGAGAATTCTTACCTTTACTAAGTGAATTGTGAAGATTAGAGTATAGTTACAAAGTTTTCTCAAGCACCTCTTTTCCTTTCTCTTTCTTTTCTTCTAGAGTTCAAATGTACAAAGCTCTCCTATTCTCTCTCTCTCTCTCTCTCTCTCGCTGCGTGTATTGTCTCTAGCTCAACAC